ATCCACAGACACTAGAATAACTTTTTTTATTTATAAATTTTATCATTCTTCTGCATTGCACTTCATTTTCCAGTTGACCCTTAGTTATGATACCCTTTTACCCTATGAATACCTCGTATAAAAACGAAAAGTTGTTAATAACAATTCGGAAAAAGGAAAGTTTGTCCTGCTAAAAAAAAAAGAGTAAGCCAAAAATTTCAGTTTGTTGTTGAAAAATGTGCTACAAGCAGAGCTCATTTATCACAATGATGAAGTTGCTAAAAGTGAGACTGAGGATGAGAAGGAGGACCTGTGTCATGGCGGCCAGCATTCGATATTCATGCTTTTACTTTAATCATAAACCCGGGGGAACTCACTTCAAAAATGTAAAATAAGTCGCCCAGTCGATGTTTTGTTCTCCGGAATATAGAGATTGTCGCTATACTCCTCCGCTGCTCAATATGATTGCAGTTCTCAACTTCAACTCCGTTGATGACTTTGTTTTTGTCAACGTCATGACTGTCATGCAGAACGTGTTCCAGTTCATGTTCCACTCCTCCCTTTACTCCTGTTGTATTACAGATTTCTACCCCTTTTCCACCCAGCAGCCACGTTGCCCACGTCCTTGGGGTGATATTTATTGTTTTTCAACTCATAATACTTCGAGTGGAGGAGCGGAAGTGTCGGTTAAGATGGCTGCCAGTTGCTTATTGGCATTAAAGTCGCCTGTTTGAATAATGGCTTTCATGTGGGACTAACGGTGATTGACTGGCGTTAAAGTTAATGTCTTAAATAATGGGGTTTTGCAAAAAAAAAAAAAAAAAAAAAAAAAAAAATTAAATATAAAATAAATAATAAAATATTTCAAAAATAAATATATAGAGAAGAAAATTTGAACATAATTTATTTAAAAAAATTACGATTTATCGCAGATTAATCGAAAATTTGAATTATCGATTTAAGTGTGAACAAATATCGATAAGTCATCGATATATTTATATAATTTAAAGTCATTCCTGATATCAATTTTAACTGCAACTTTCTCTGCCAAGATCCTATATTGGCATCTTCAATAAATATTTTAGAATACTTTTACCTAATGATTTAATAAATTCCGATTAAATTTTGGCTTTGCTGGACAAAACATGTTACCAAAAGATTCAGCTTCTGGTCAGAATATCATTTATCAGCCATCGTCTATTTCAGCATTTGCAGATATGCAAATAGCTGGGGAAAAAACCATCCATTAATCGGAGGCAATTAGAGGCTGCGGCAAATGTCACTTTGATGACCTCTGACCCCGTTTCACCCATTTTTCCATCCCGCCAGATAATCCTTGACCACTCTGGCTATATTAATCCGCATCCGGATTGCGGCAGACGACAACGAAGAAGCAGGACACACACACAAAAAACCAGAGCTCCACATTTCAATTTGATGACCCGATGACCTCGCAACCAGTGGGCGTGGTCTGTCCCTTGTTTGCCACATCGAAGGGTTAAAGGCCTTAAAGTCAACACTCAAGGCCTTATCAGAACAACCGCCGAGGAGAAGAGGACCATCACATCGCATTTTAAAGGACACATACAGCAGCAGCCGTATCCTTTGTTGCGGCTAAGCTTTACAAATTCGTTATTAAGATGTTTTTAACCCAAAAAATAAAAAAATGTGCCTCGAATGTATGGCAAAGACGAGTAAAAAATGGCCACAAATAAATGAGCAGATAAATAACAGCTCAGCTTTTGTGATGGGAAAGAGGAATCAGAGGCATCTCCCCCTCTGCCCGCAGGTATGTTTTGTGTTGTCTGGTGCGTGATAAGCACTCGAGAATGTCGCTCCAGGACAAGCAATTTAAGCGATGGCAGGACCTCTCGCACAGATACTCGCACTCCCCCTGCAGTTTGTCACTGTCCTGTGGGTCACATATCGCCAAAAACTAATTTCATCAAATGCGACTTACTGGTCACAATAAATTGAATGTTGATGGGAAGCAAATTAGGCCGAAATGTAGCCCAAAATAGTTGTTGGAATAGAGTGAATAATAATTTTATGTTTATTTGCAATAGAAATACTTGCCGATGGGTATTGGTTTATCACTCTGAACTTTGATTAAATATTTATATAAATATGATTTCTACTCTGTATCCATTCTTTTTTTATATGAAATTCGAGATAAACCAATTTTATAAATCAACAAAAATAAATCTACGAAAGGTATTACATGTATGTTTGGTCATAGCTAAGTGATATTTTAGACCTTAAACTTAAATAATATAAAATATAATACGTATTGTAATAATATAAAATTTAAATAATATTTTTAAAATATATTTTAACTTACCTTTTTGTTTGAAATACCTTGTTACCTTTTTTTTTTGTAAAAACAATATTTATTATGCTGCTAATTCCATAACAAACATTTATTTTAATTTATTTATTTATTTACATCACATAAATGTCCCTAAAATATACACATATTTTTCCACTTCCACGCATACATAATTAAATCAAATATATACACTCCCCACACACACCCTTCGCCAGCAGGTGAAAGTCCTGGCTGCACATATGTTACGTATACGCAGCGTTGAACACTTAAAAATGCTGGTCACTGGACCTACGCAATTGCGTGGCTAAAACCATAAATCACAATGCCTGCACAATGCCAACACCTGACCAAAACTGAACTGGTGAGGGGTTTTCAGACTATAGTATAGAATATATATGTATGGGGGGAAGCATAGCCCGCGGCAGGTGGGCCCTTGAGCAAATGCACTAATTTCCACCTTTGGCATGCATATTGATATATCAACAGAAAACTATCAATGCATTCAGGTGTGTGTTCTATGGGAGGGTGTGTGTTTATGATGTTGTTGTTTGCCTTCGGCAGCGTCATTAGCATCAAAGTAAATTTACGTTTATAAATTAGCCCAAGGGCGTAACGAGCTGAATGGCGACCATAATTCAGCTAAATCATATGAGCAGAGACAGAGGCCGAGAGACAAAGCGCGGAAGCGAGATGAAGAGAGTGTTAGACAGAGAGAAAGAGAGAGAGGGAGTGGGGTGGCCTGCAAGCGGGGGGATCCAACGAAGGACCTGAATGCATGCAAAATACTTTGCCGGAATTCCTTCACTCCTGCTAAAAAAACACTGGAAGAAAAGTTAAAATGAAATGGGCTTCTTTTTTTTAAGAAATTTTAATTTTGTTTTGCTTAAAAATAAATCTAAAATTGTTCTTTCTTAGAACTATATTTTAAATAAACAGCTAAAAGATTGTGATACATCCTTATCCTTCTTCACACTTTCTTTTTTAGAAAACAATTCTACAAATTCTATAAAATATTAATAAAAAAACTTCTAGTATTATAAAATATTCCCTATATTCCAACGATCACTAATGAAAATCTCCAAAATTCTTAGCTAATTTCCCGATGTGTAACTTGCTATATTGTTCGTTGTCACAACTTATGCAAATTGCGACTCTTCGGCTTGGTCTTTGTCTGGCAAAGAAGTTGCATACCAGCGGCTTGCTGAAGCTCATAGTTTCCTTCGAGTTGAACTATATAGTATATATAAATGTATATAGCATATATATAGGAAAATTGCATGTTTCACTGCAATGAAAACAAATCGCAAAATTACCATAATCAAAGCATAAAAGGGATTTCTGTTTTATTCTTTGTCTCCTCGCACACATACACAGCATCTTAGCAGCTTCTCTCCGGCCAAGACAATAGCAAAGAACCTCTTTTTCTTTTCTCCTTTTTGGTTTTTTTGAAAGTTGTCGACCAAGTTTGCTCAACGAAATATTTTAAAGTAATTGGCCTCGTTTGTTGGCTGCGAGAGCAAATTGAATTTCGAAATAGATCTATTTGAGTTTGGTAATTGGTTGGGGGGCTCTCCAACGAATTGTTTTTGACAAGTTTCCGCTCGTATTTTATTGTGGTCCTCGGTGTAATTGCGACAAGGCGGTAAAAAAAGCGAAGAGAGAGCGAGAAAGTCATGGAGTATAAAAAGTTACAAATTAAAGAAGAAATACGTGGGGAAAGTAGGTTAGTTATGGGTCAGAAGATTATAACTGATGAATTAATGGATGGATTAGGGATCTATTAGTATGTTTGGTTTCTTTTGTAGTCAATCAGGAGCTATGTTGATTTCTAATTTCAAATTTATTCATATTTGTAATCCTTTACGATTCTATTTAATCAATTTATTTGGATTTATTATTATATTTTTATGGGATCTTATTAATTTCTTAAATCAGAACATTTATTTTGATCGTTGTAGAAATAACAATAAACTTTTTACACTAAACTAATCATAAATAACTTTATTCATTATTAAGATTTGGCTTAAATAGAAGTGTAAACATAAAAACAAATAAAAAGCGCATAAGGGGGCGTTGCCCAACGCTGATTGGCCAATTATGAATGCACCAATGAGAAGTCAACCAATCAAACTCCCACAACAGGGTGGAGCCAATGGCAATTAGCCAATAAAAAAAAGTGTAAAGGGAGGAGCCTATGTGGATTAGCCAATCGGGAGAATATAGTAGGTGGGGCTTGGAAAAATTAAATATAAATAGTAACAAAATATTAACTTTTAAATTAAATAAATCAAATATATAAAATATATATTTTGTATATCATTGACAAATAAATATGACGATCACTTTTAAAATCCATTAAAATAATTATAACCTTTCCTTTTTGTTTTTGAAATCAACAAAATATAAATCCCTTATTTTTCGAATCAAATTAATGTCCTTAATATCATGCTTACCGACTCCAAACATTTAATAATTTTTTTAGAAAGGCATAAAACGCATTAAAATCCTATTAATTATCCTGGGCATATATGGAGATTGTCCAATTCCAGAATCATAAATATATTCCCAAAGCTTTTCGAAAGCTTTCACAAATTATATATTTCGATTGGTTGCTGTACTTGCTGAATCAGAATTTCCATAAATTTTTGAAAATGTATTATAATAAATAAAAGGAAGAACATAAATTTAAAGGTCTGCTTTGATTTTTATTTATTTATTGTTTTTTTTATAAAGTTACTAAAGTACAAAAATTTGTTGCTAATATAAAATTTGTTTACAATTTTGTTTGCTAATTTACAAAAGACCTACGAGAATGAAATAAAAATGTTAAAATAGCTGGAAGACAACAATTGACATTGATGGGACACCCAAGGACACGCACATAAGTACAGTACACTCTACAAAACTATGGACGAAAGATTTAGGATGCGACTACCAACTAGAAACACACAAATTAGACGAGGCCTAGGAGACGGGAAAACTAAACATACAAGTGGAAAGCTTGGATCTAGGGATGATGCAAATTCGGTTGGGTTCTATGGGTTTTAGCGTTCTCCTCCGTCCACGCCCACTTTGGGGAGAACCTGTCAAAGTTCCACTCGTCGGGATGACCCTCGTGGCCGCCGACCTCCTCGGCTGGACTCATCTGGGACCACTTGAAGGGTCCGGAGCCAATCCGCCTCATGGCAATGGCTCTCATATCATTGCGCACCGGTCGCCGTTCGGTGATGAGTTCCAATTCCGCCAAACTGGCGGCATCATCGATGCTCACACTGAGCCTTTCATCACCTATGGCGGCGGTGGGAGCACCGTCCTCGCTCTGATCTTCCAAGGCCCTGGGCTGGACATGCTGTAGCCTGAGGAATATTGGTCCCGCAAAGGCATGATAGTCGCTCTCACCCAGACGGGCATTGTAGGAGAACAGCTTCAGATCTATGTTGCCATAGGCAATCGACTCTTCGCCGCCCAGAAGATCCCCGCGAAAGCCATGGGTTCGCAGATACTTGTCCACTGCCTCGAGGTTCGTCAACTCGGCCTCATCCGCCTCCGAGAGCTGCTGATCCTCGCTGTAGCTCACACCACTGGCCTCCAGGACACTCTTGTGATAGGGCACTCCATTGGCCAGCCAGGATGAGTTGCCTGGGGTCACCAGGAAGTTCTGGGTGACATCCTTCTTGGTCAGACTACCCGGCAGCTGTTCGGCAATCCATACCATGTCCTTCAGCTGATCGTGGCGGTTCAGGATGGCAGTCCTATCCTTCTCGTTCACAGTCACCGCAGCATCATCGTGCTTATCATCGCCTTCTCGGACATTGTACAGCTGATCCTGATCGCCCAGCTTCTTCAGATCCACAGTGATCCACTGCTTGGCCCCAGTAGTGGGATGCCTGGACATGGCATTGGCCCAAGTCTGCCGGCTCTGGGAAATCCTATTGGCAGCCATCACACGAGCCACCAGAGGCACCATCTTCTTCGTATCCACCGACTTCCACAGCTGCAGATTCTCATTCTTGATGCCTACGCCACCAACGATAGCCTGTACATGCCTTCCCTTGATCACATAGAAGTCATCGGTGGAGCCGAGTATCCCGGGATATCCTGTAAATGTTATATCCACCCCGGGCACAGTGTTACTCCTGAGCTTCGGTGAGAAATGATAGTGGAACTTGTAGCGCTTTTGGATCCTCAGCATGGAGGAATAGCTGCCTGCAGTGCTGTGACCAAAGAGCAGCTGTAGTTTCTGGGGTTCCTGCTCCGGTTGAACAATCCTTGTTAGCATGGTGGCGCTGGGCAGAAAGAAATTCTTGGGCTGGTCAGTGGCCGCATCCTCGCCATTAGCTGTGCCATTGGGCAGCACATAGTTCTCGTAGTAGATCTTTAGATCCTGGATATCGGCAGCGGCATTCATCAGCAGGAAATCGGAGAAGGGAATCTCGCCTTCGAGTTCGGAGCGAGCACGAGTTGCTCCACGAATGTAGCCCTTTTCCAGGCCCTCCAGCTGGTTGACAAACAAATGCAACTGATGCCAGTAATGATCGTTTTCACCCTTAGCTGTCTGCGTTTTCAGGCGCTCAAAGTTGGTGGTTAGGAGTTCCCTCAGCCAGCCACAGAATTTCCGGGAACTATCATCGCGATCGCAGGAGGTGGCAATGGTACTGTAAGGTAGGAAATTACATTAATTTCTAGTTCAAGAAGGTTATCCTTAGAGGTTTTACTTACTTGACCCACTGATTGTAGATGTTCCGCCAGGTCAGCGAACCCTCCAGCAGGCCAGCCGCATAGGCCTGAACCCAGTCGTCATAACTTCTTTGGGTCTCCACCTCGATTTGAGCCCAACTGTTAAGGAGATTAAATGATTATTTCATAAATTTCAAGTTTATATTATCAATATCCAACTCACCCATTCTCGTAAACCGAATCCTTGTAGCAAATCCTAGCCACACCTTGAGGAATATTGACCAAATCATTCTGCTGCTTCCAGTTCTCGATAGTGAAGCCCACCTGCTTCGTCCACAAGGCCGTGGCGCAGTAGGTGCCATCATAAGTGGGACGCTCCATGTAGCCTATAAAAAAGGCTCCTATGACCAGCAGACCAGCTCCGATGAGTATGTAGGTCCCTATCCGCGTTTTTTGCCACGATGCACCAACGACTTTCAACATTGTGCCGGCCGTCGTGAAGCTGCAGCGATGAGGAAATGAAAGATGGTTCCAGCAACTATCAGGGGATCACAGATCTTCAGATATTCCCAGTTTCAGTATTCCGAATCCTTTTTCAATTCCTCGATTTTATCCCTGATAATTGTGATCGGCGCGAGCTGCGTACGAGTGGCCAAGACGATGTGCAATTAGGTGGCCAGTGTGCAGGTGATTCTGTGATGGGGGGCAGGTGTAGGTGCAAGGGCAGGAGCTGCTGCTGCTGATCTCGGTGGCCACGCTGTTGAGCGCTCTGGCCGAGTGGTTCATGGGTGGTAGACTGCTTTCAAGCAGAGATTCCAACGGTTTCCAGGTGGTTAAGTCTACTTTAACTATGACTTCTCAGTGATTTCGGTGGGGACTATGGAAGTGGAGATGTGCTTCTCTGTTTCTCTTGGCTATGTCTTTTGAGGTTCAAGTTGTATCCCTAATAAATAATAAAAAAAAACCATAAACCATTAGAAAATACACATACATATCAAGGGGAAATGACGTCTTGATGGAATATTTACTAAAACAACATTTACACAAGAACTAATAATAATAAACAATATTTGATTTGCATGCACATTGCTTTGATTACTACACAGCCTCCTTAAATATATAATAACCTCTTCAAGAGCTGCCCTTGAACCATTTCCTATATTTACAAACTTTCCCCAAACAGATCCCGAACTCAAAGGCAAATGTTTATTTCACACTTTCGCTACTTTTTTGGCAAAAGAAATTCGAAATAGCACAAGAGAGAGGTAAACAAAATTTAAGCATTTGTAAAACTAATAAATTAATTTTATGGCCCGAATGGTACTTGGAGTGCCTGAATTACTTTATGGCCAAACAGCAGCCGGCGAAATTGGTTGGATTGTGCCAAAAAAGATAAGCAGAACACCTGTTCTGCTGATCCCACCTCATAAAGGTATCTCTATGGAATTCTATGTATAGCAAATGGAAAAGTTTCTCCTTAGTTTATTTAGATTTTCTTAGCTTGTCCTCTAGTAAATTAATAACATCATTATGATTACAAAAACCACAAAAATAAAATTCTATAAAGAGAAGAATTTCAAAGCCAATGGCAATCGAAAATCTTGCACAATGCCCCCCCATGTAATTCTGAAATTCCATTTGGATTTCCAAATTAAACCTGTGCTCTTTCGTAAACAATAGAATTGTGTACATTCGGCACGTGGAGAATACACAATCCAAAATCGTATCAAAATCGTATTGAACGCAATTGTTTTCGCTTTGCAAAAATTTTTTGAACAAAATTCAGAATGCTTCTAAACATCAATCAATTAACAGGCTCATACAATTAAACATTTATATCGATGTGTATACCCTGGATTGTTTAAATCTATCTTTTAATTCCCTGATCGACTTGAATTGATATGTGGCATGCATATAAAATGTTTAGACAAATGTAGATCATTTTTACAAAAGATAAACAAAGCTTACCTTTTTGTTTCCCGGGTCCAGGAAGCTGCAATGTCACAAGTCAACCCATTTGAAGAACTGCAAATAAATAATAAAATTATCATAATTAGTAAATAATTCAAACATTTAGTTAAAGTATTTTTTTTGTTTGCTTTTTCCATCATTAAGAAGGCGCCTCTACTTGGTCACTGCCTTCTTAATTCAGCTTCTTTGTTTATTTTCACAATTTGGTCGCAAGTCTCGTGATTTGTCTGATTTTTGCCGCCTCTAAAGACTCTGGTGGGTCTTTTGTTTACTTTGGGTTTCAATTGGACAAAAGCTGAGCAGGCGCACGCGCTCTTGAATTGTTTGTGCTTATTTGTCATAAAAATGTTGATCATGGCAGTCACTGGACATTCGAATGAAATATGATAGCGCTAATTGATGGACAGGGGAACTTTGAAATTGACTTGTTAGAAAGCATGAGGGGATTCACCCCAGTTTCACCATAAATCAAACGCAAAATTATAGTTCAATAAAAGCTTAAGCCTTTCAAAACCCAAAAGACCTGGTATAAGGGTTTATATGAGTGATTATTAAGCTCAAATTTTATGAATTAATAAAAAACTTATAAATATTTAAGATGTCTAAATACGTAGAATTTCCACTAAACTATCAATTTAATAACCAGACATTATTTTATGTTTATAAATTTTAATTAAATATTTTTTTTGCATTGCAAAACTGCATTACAATTTCAATAATTACAGCCGGAACAGCACTTAACTGCAAATGTTAATTGCCCGTCCAAAAAGTATATATAAACTTTGAATGAAGTAATGCCTTGAGATGGCTGACTAATCACAGGCTACGATGCCATAAGGTCCTAAAGTAAACAATTTATATTGCAACAAGCTGGCAAAAAAAAAAAGTAACAAGGGAAATTCTTTCATTTCACTCATTTCCATTTCAACTTGATGTGAAAATAAACAGGCATCAAGTAAAAGTGAACAAAACACATCCATCAGGTTCAACAATGAAATAAGTTTATATTTTTAAACAAATTAAAGGTAATCCATAACAGAACTTAATTGACTTGCCCTCATGGAAGGACGTCAATATATAAGTTTGTATACTATATAGTCTATAGAAATTCATCTCACAAGATCGGTTCATACTTCATAATGACGTTAGGAATTAGCGCTACGAAAACCAAAAACAAACGTAGGATCTAAAATAGCAAATAGGAGCATAAAATCCAGGCAAAAGTTGCCAGAGTCCACTGACGTCTTTGCAACTCATTAAACTCACTTAGCTCACTTAACTCACTTAGCTCGATTAACGCCATTATCATTATAGCAGAGCAAACACAGTTGTTTTGTTTTTTAGATACAAATGTATCCACATAAAGCCGCTTCAGTTCTGGGCTACTGAGCCAGATAGTCACACTGTTTCCATAGCCCTGATAAAATTATCAAATGTTTTTACAACCGCTCTTGTCAGTTGATCAATCAAAAACTTAGTCTGACTGCCAAATCGGGGGCACAGAAATTTGTGTCGCCAAGTGAACAAAATATTGATAAGATTGCCAGTGTATTTATTAGCTAAATATTTAGATATGCATGTCTAGCCTTTTTGGCATATTAAGAACGTAAGTTCAATCAGCAGACAGACTTCTATAAAGTTCAGAACCGATAAGATAAATCACAGGCGTGATGGCCAAAAACTACGCAGGCAGTTTTTAATATCAAGCTAAAAGTTAAGAGTTAAGTTAATTGAGTAAATTTTCCATACAAAATCAAGGTATATTATGGTTATAACACTTTAGCAATAAATAAAACCCACATTCATTTGCATATTTATAAACAAAGTATACTCTTAATACCCAATATTTTAGGTGAAAACCATATATATCTTATATTTGCCAAATTTTTCCCCCAACTAATTAGCTTGTGTCTGGGAATATTTTACCATTTGATCTATATTCCTAAGGAAAATGCAATTGCCTTTATGATTAAAGTTAATTTTCCGCTGGTAATGGAAACTTTTGATGGCTGGCCATAAATTCAATTGTTCTCATTCATTCAAAATATACAAACTAAGTAAACACTTGATGGAAACCCACATACTTGCTACCCTTTTGGAATATGAAATACCACAACAAATTCATAATCTTTCCAGGAATACCAAGCGCCACATGTGGCATTAACACGAAGAACTGGGGGGCGATCCATCTCCTAGTCTTGCCACGTGAGGGAATTTTTTTTATATAAAATGTGGGAAACGCTCAATGAATGCCATGCGAACCGTCAACGCTGCATATTAATTTCAGATTTCGGTTAAGCGTGAGCTGCACATGGCACTTTTGATTGAGGTAAAGCGAAAACTGCTAACTTGGCCGTTGCCACGCGTCGCTATCGAGCTGACAACGCCGCCACCGATTTTGATAAGGCCCATGTCCGAGTCCCAAGTCTGTGGAGTGAGGGCCATGTAAACCGATCTACCCGGCAACAAAGTTGGTAGTCAGCTAAGCAAATGCACCCGTTCTATAAATGCCAGACACCGACGCAGTGCGGTAAGCAAACACTGAGAGGATTTTAAGAATAATATAAATATTTTACTTTGTTTTGAAAATACCTACATTATTTTTATAAATATCAATTAATTGTTTACTTTTTTTGGGTTAAAATTTCAAGTTTATGAAATTTTATAAAATGTTTATGACCTACTTTTAGACATAAGTTTTATGTGATTTTAAATCTGAATAAATTTGTTCTCCTTCGGAGGAGCTACAGAAACCATAATAGCTTTTAAACCCCTTGAAATTTGTACTTTTTTATCTTAAAAAACAATTATACCTTGAATTTGCTACCTAAAATATATTATTTCATATTTTTAGATACATTTTTAAATGCTTTTAAAAATCTAGTAACTTGCTAGCACCCTATAATATGTGAAATTAGAATTCAACAAATTTAAAACTTAATAAAATAATTTATTTATTATATAATTTATATTATATTATTTATCTTTTCTTTTTTTGTGATTACAGGGGACTTGTCAACTATTTTTCCCACAGTGCTGATACTGTATCTTTTGTGGGGATTGCACATTTTGAGATTGGAGTCCAATCCAGTGTTTAGACTACTGACAGACAGACAGACAGACAGACATAAAAACGAGCGCCGCGCCGCGACGCGACGTCTGCGACTTGGGGATCCAGGGAACTGGAGATCGAGGGTCTCGGGAATCCAGTGACTCGGACAGAGCGCGTGGACGGGGACAGGTTACTGAATACGAGAAGCGTGATGGACAAGTTAAAGGGACGCCATTAGATACCCAATGAACTCATCTCAGCTAAATGGATTCAACACGCTCCAATCGAATGATAATCGAGATTTTAACGACTCAACCAGCTGATCGACAAGTCTGCTGATTTAATCAGATTATAAATATATATATGGCAACAAATGCATATATTTGATTAGTTAGGGGCTCGTGCGGGAAATTCTTAATTAGTATATGCTAATAGCCAGTGAATGGAATCGCAATGGAATATACATAGTCTTGATAATTTGCGATCGCTTTTAATTCTAAAATTCGTGTGAATATAATCATTCGTGATGTTTAAAGCTGTGCCATTGTGTGCGGGGATTTTCTGTTTACATTCCTAGGGGAAATGTTTTAACCAACGATATAACCAATGATATAACCAAATGATATAAGTCCCTTTGAAAGTAAACCTTTTTAAATGGGTTTTTCATTTTACGTAATTTTATTTAGAGTTTCGTAAGTTTGTAAACATTTTAGTTAAATTTTGTTTCAATATTTAATAAATCATAATTGTGACTTTGTTTCTTATCACCACTTTAATTTCTCTCCACGTTTTCGTTGAAATTTCAATGGCAAAAAAAAACCCAAAGAATTATATTATAATTCTTGAGAGCTCTCACTAATCAGTTTTTGAATTCTGATGCAACAGTAACCGGTTTTGTTTGGGGAAATCAAAGCAGTTGATAAGTTCGTTTACCTCGGGGTTTTTTTATGTCTTTATAAGTCACTCACCGAAATCTATTATGCTTTCGAATTAACTGCAATTATCTGGAAATTCGTTGGGACTGCGACTTAATTTGTATTAAAATTGTTTGTATGCCCCATAAACCGGAAAAATCTGCACTGAATAAGTATCTTGAAGATACAGCGGAATCTCCTTTACGTCAATCTCTTAGCCCGATCGCTTAATATCTGCTCGGTTCGTCCGAATGCCTTGACGTTGCCACCGAAACTGGCGATGGTGCTTTTTCGACTTTCGGCTTTTCGTCTCTCTTGGGACTCGGGTTTTTCTAGCCACTCGGCAAAGGCGGGAAAAATCGTGCAAATTTTCATACCTTTAAGACGAAAAAAAAATCACGGGTATATGGTATTTGAAATGGAATTAAGAGGAAAATTTGTAGAACTCATGTTGAAGAATTTATCTTGAATATACTAAATACAGGAAATTTGTAAGCTGTCATTGAAGTGATATATTTTGGAATTGTCATCTTTATATTAAATATAAATCATTGATCTTAAATATCATTTTCTCTAAAATGAAACATAACATTAGCTTTATGTTCTCTGTGTTCTCTTAAGCTTTTGCCAATATATTGATCTCATATACATACATAAATGTTAATGTTTAGAAATTCCACAAATTTAAAAGAATTTAAATGAAATATTTTCAATTTATGAGAGACCATAAAAAAAATAATTAGGACAATTTCAAAAATGTGGGTATTTTATAGTTGGGAAAAACCCGAAACGGACTTCGGCTCTTGGCGATGCTTCGGTCAAAAGTTCTATTGAACTTGGCCGTCATTAAAGAGGAAGGAGAATAGCATTCGGTTGGCTGATCAGTGGGTTTTTTCTTCACATTGACAGGTGTTATCTGCGTTGTTAGGTGGCCAAAAGAGGTTCAGAGAACGTGAGGTTTTTAAGTTAACTTGGCAAGGTTCTTGGTCAGATTTATTTACGGCCTTTATGACTGATTTATCTGCGCATTATGCACTTGTCCATGCAAATTGCCAACTGACACGCAATCGAGTTTCCGCTTGGCTACAGTTTTACAATTGAAATTGACATTTAATTGAGCCGTATTTCAGTGCGCAGTTGGAAATGGTTTTCCCATGAAAATTGTGGGGCACTCACTCGGCTTTCTCACTCTTTCTCGAACTGTCTGTCTGTCTGTTTGTCTGAGTGCATTTCACTTTCTTCGCTCAACAAAATTGATAAGAGTAGCATTTATTTTTTTGGGGTCAATCAAAAATACTTGGGGATTGCTATCAATTAAAATGAATTGAAATGGCGACAAGTTTGCGTGATCATGAGGCGCACAGACATATTTACATAACTGTAGGGGATAAATCGAATGGCGGGGATAACCTTGATTAATCCCATTGTCGAGCGTCTTAGAAATTTTATTGACAATTGTCGGTCAATATCAAAAGTGCTTAGTGATCAAGCTGGCAGACATAAAGCAAGATATAGAAGTGCCTGAACAGACTTCTAATGTGTGTTCCTTTTTATTTCCATTCCGATTCATCTCCATCCTTTCCTGTTCTTCTTCTTGTGTCTGTCTGGAGGGGCAACATTCCATGTTGAACTTGTGTACAGTGAAACTTGTGTATAAATTTAATTTAGATATTTTTTAAAATATTTTAAATTTAAAGTTTAATATTTTATGAGCTATATTTAACCTTTTTAAGTCATTTAACTAACCCAAAATAAAATATTTGCAGATAGAAAAACATAATTTCTTCAAGATAAAATATTATAATATAAATTTAGCTGCTTTAATATAAATTTCTAATTTTAAAATTGATTAATAATTACACAAAAGTATCCAATTAAAATATATAACCCCTATTTAATACCACATCTAAACCGTAAAATTATTTTAACAGCTCTCCTATACAATACAAGCTCACCTTAAGGGAAGCCCATCTGTACACCAAGCCAGGAAGGACAAGAACCTCAAGGATTTTGACCTCATTTGTCTGGGGAACTGTGAGAGAATATGAGAATGCGGGATAGGAAGGCCTGGCGTCGCCTGGCAACTTCTCGGAAAGACCTGCCCCTCTTGTCTTAATAGTTTTTATTGCCTTTTATTTGTTTTCTCAAGACGAAGAGACTGCTCAGAACATCCATTGAACGGAGCCGCGCATGCTCTGTGGATCCGAGACATAAAAACTTGTTGCTAGGCAGCAAAATCACCCTTCTCTTCCCGGCGATCGTTTTTTTTAAGGTAATTCAAGAAGTTTTTGTCTCGGTTTTTTTTTTTTTTCTTCTTTTTATAGAGGTTGTATACTAGGCCATTGGCTTTTGAGGTTGAACTCTTACTTTTGTTTAAGCAAAAAATACAATTGTCTGCAAGGTTTTCATTTTTCGAGGTTTTTGTTTTCAATGAACTTATTTTAAACTTGGCACAGTCCGAACTGCTCAGAGGTAAAGCTGGCACTAAACTGGCACCAATTTGCATTTATTTGGAGTCCCCACATCACAGAATCTTATGCAAAAATAAAAAGAGTATTATCTAGTGGAGATAAGAGGATATTTCAGCGGAAAAGACACTAAAACGGTCGGACAATCTACGTAAATACGTCAAGTACGATGTATTTTTGGACGCCCTATGTCTTAATTTTTATTATTTACGACATGTTTATTTGGCAAACTTCCACTACGAATGGATCGCGTGGAGTGCTTACTGTTTACCAGGTCTTAACCCATGTCAACGATCTGCTCAACACTCATGTGATCTACAACGATTCCGCAGGGAGTCGTTATTAAACGTATGATGACTCAACTTCTGGGGTGAAGTCTAGGCGATAACAGATACTGGAATTAATGGAATTCTATAATCAATAGTGCCAAAGATATGAAATGTGCTAAAAATAAGCGAAGCCATAGGACTTCCCCTAGAAACTTAGATAAGAATATGGTGACCTCATTGATCTTTCTATTTTTTTTCGCAGAATTATATATAATATATTTCAGAGAAATCGTTTACAGATAGTAGAAGTCACAAAAGATGTGGAATTGTATGTTTTTGCATGTTTTCTTGTTAATCATAAAATGTTTTAAAAAATATTTTGACAAAAAAGAGAAACAACCAATTAAAACTAGGCCGCCTACTTTAAATTTGACTTTTTAACGACGCTATTCACTTTAATTTTAGAACTTGCTTCAAATATTTATGGAAAACATAAAAATAGGTAAACATTTACAATATTTTTAATAGAAAAAATCTGTGGTCTCTTAATTAGGAACCAAGGTTATATGAACAAAAAGTCCATCCTGGTGGTGGAACAAAAGTCACTCAAAGGACAACAACCCCTATATAATATTACGTCTCATTTTCCGATCACCAGATTCCCAGATAATCCGCACTCATCTCATCTCCCTGTCCACCCATGAAAAAAATATATAAACGAGACTATCGCTATATGTGCGGACCCTATTTTTGTCAGTAAACAGATATTGCGCGTCGCGTTCCTGATTTTCGCTATAGCGTTACGCGAGGTCAATAATGATACAATGGGTGACTGTTGCCACCAACAGTTAGCACTTGGCACCCGAGAGTTCAGCAATCTTCTACCGACTCTGATTCGGATCGAGAGCGAGGACAAACACTTACCGGAAAATTGAAATGGCTCGTGACTCAGGCAAAAATTCCGCACTGACAAGTGAGTGAAATTCGCAGGGGTGTTGATTGAAGGGGAGCACTATTGGTTGGATCGCTGCTAAATTCAGCCACTGCGATATTTGTTGCTTTAACACGATATTGCTATATAGTCACACAACGCTCTCGTGTTAATTATCCATGAAGGGCTACATTGGAAACGCACTGTGTATGGTGGATATAACTTTTCCCGGTTTTCGATACCTTTGCGAATGGTTTTCTTTAGCACCGGTTTGGCGAAATAATTCAATTTGTTTCGATTATAAAAACTTGTGTCACTTCAAATCATTTAATGGCCGAGAAGAACGCTGTTGCCATGCGGCTAGTTTAAAATATCAGCGACAAGTAACTAATTATACGGCGTGGTCGCGTATATGTAATGTGCCTGTGCCGCTTGAGCGTTTTATGGGAGAGTTTTTGTAGAACGCGAAAACGTGGCGTTTCTTTTATTTAAATTTTATATATTCGTTGATATTTACACTGAGCGATACTCTTTATTTTCTTGCACGCAGTACTTATTTTTAGCGTCGGCAATTGCACATCCAAGTGAAATTGAAAAGATAACACGAAACACAGATCACACGGAACGAAAATATATAACGACTTCCGATTCGACGATGAACAAGAGAGAGACTGACACACCGAGAGTTTTACGATCATATCGCTAGGTCGCTGGGCGATTTCGACTCAAATTGCGGACGCGGAGAAGAGAGTTTAGGTTATCAACTCGGTCTGTCCGCGGAAAGTACGAGAGCAGGCGCTCAAGTACACTGGTCTACATGGGTCATAAATAGGGTATTTGAGTTTATAATAATATAAAAGAATATAGAATATAGAAAATTCTCTCATTTAAATTGAATAAATAGTATTCATAAAATAATTGTATATTTTCAAAGATAACAAGAACTTAAAAAGTAAAGAATTAAAACGATAATGAAGTGTACCATTATTTTTGCTCAACTATATAAATTCAAAGAATATTTTTTGTGTAGAACCCCACCCACATAGTTTGCATGGGTGCTGTGATCAGCTAGGTTTTTAATGTTCGGATTAATCGAGATTCAGAGATTCCTTACCCATTAAGAGTGATCTCACCCTCGTAGCTCAGTGTACTGTGCTCCCTCAATTCCACTCAATTAGCTGCCATGGAGTGAATATCTCTCAGTGTAATTGAGCACTCTCTCACCTTGCCACTCTCTCGCTCTCTCCCATCTCAATGATCTTCAATCTGGCACCCTCTTTTCCTCTCACCTTGCGAATTGATTTCTTGGACATATGCTAATTAAAAAGTTATTCGTGACGTCTTGCAGCGATTCCGCTATCATTACTTTTTTTTTGTGTGGAGCTCCGCCCCCTTGAATCGAGCAAACAAAACGTGCAGGAGATAAGAGCAAGTGATAAAGAGGAAATGCTTTCGGCCTGATTAATTATGGCAACCTAAAATGCGACTAGCACAGAAATTCGCCACAAAGCCATGGATAAATAATAGAAAAAGGTACAGTTGTTTTCCTTATCTCTTGGCTTACCTGAGCAAACTCTTCCATCCGCTGCAGGTGGAGTGAGTAATCTGCAACCGAAATAACACCTGGGCGGAAGAAATTCAAGCGAAACAAATATATATATAAAATATTTTATTTATTGTATATTTTTCATTTGAATAAACTCGGCATTCTTTAGTTTATTTAAATTTGTATTCATTAAAACAACCCAGTTCCCAAATTCTTTACAAATCACTTAAGTTCTGTTATGCTTCAGAACCTTTGTGTGCCTTGTCTCTTGTTAGAACTTGGACAGTCGTTTGTCAGCTGGTTCCATAGTGTAGCGGTTATCACGTCTGCTTTACACGCAGAAGGTCTCCGGTTCGATCCCGGATGGAACCAGGAGGAAAATAACTTTTTTTTTAATTGTAATTTTTTGTATTACTATTTAAATACAAAAAAAATCATTGTTTAATTATGTAAATAAATGGTAATTAAAAAAAATTGTTTTCAAACTAAATTTATTCTGTCCTTAACAATGAAAACAATTTTCAATTTCATAAAATGTTAAAGTTTTTATTTTGCAATTGTTTAACAAATAAATAAACTAACAAATAAATAACAAAATTAAAATAAAATAAAATAAACTAATTTACGTAAAACATCATAAATGTATCTCAATAATATATAATTAAATATTGAGTTCTTACCAAAATGAATTTTAAGTACATATATTTTACAAATAAGAATAAAAATAAATAATATAAAAAGAATAAGTAATAATAAAATAAGAATTTAACAAAAAGTATAAAATAAAGAGTTATCAAAAAAGAGAATTTACACCTGGTTCCATCCGGGATCGAACCGGAGACCTTCTGCGTGTAAAGCAGACGTGATAACCGCTACACTATGGAACCAGCTGACTCAAGCTCTCCCAATTTCAGTTTTGTCAAGCAAGGCCATAAAAATCAATAGCACACTTTCCAGCTGTTGGATATTTAGACCCCTAAATTATCTTTTTAAAAATATAAAAATCTCTATTAAAATAAAAACTTCAGAAATTATCCATTGTTATTCTTTGAGTATCATAAATATTTTTTTATTTAAAAGCCAAAAGCACATCAATAATACGTCTTATGCATGTTTGTGCCTATATTCGAGTAAAATCTGGTTGCTACTTAGTTGCAAGCATTATAAAATAAGTATAAATTAAGCATTAAAATTACAAACACAGTTGTAAATGTATTGCACCGTTGTTCAACCTAAATAGTATTATGCACTAAACAATAAATCAACAAAAACTAAGGGGCTAATAACGAAAAATCACTGAGCAAAATACATAATCTGAGGGTGTAGAAAACCAGGATTAGAAGGAGAAGAAACCAAAACTGGGCACGCAAGCCGCAGAGGATTTGCAGCTGGACTAGCAAGCGATTTCGCTTAAAAAACTCGCTTCAGTAGCGCCTGGCTGTGGTCGGTCTGGGAACACCCGAAGTCCGTGGCCTGGCGGACTTGGACCGCATGGGATTGGACACACCATCGGTGTTGTAGCTGAGGTAAACGTGCGAAAGATCCACAAAGTCCGGCTCCTTTCCGCTTGTCTTGTGAGCGGAGATGTGCTTGCGCATGTTGTTGCCCGTGTAGGCCACACACTTTAGCTGCCATTCGCCAATGTCCTCGTTCCAATGGGTATACTGATTGATCATGGACTGGTACTCCTTGGGCACGTAGGAGTTTAATACAAGTTCGCAGAGAGCTAGCTCCCTGGAGAGGCTTCTTATGTTCTCATAGATGCCCTCCTTTTCCCGCTGATGCTCCTGCTGCTGATCAGCCAGCTCTGACTTAACGCCCATCAGCATCTGCATCACCCGGTGGATCTTCTTGGTGATGCCAGTACTGGCGTCCTGAAGCGTGGAATACCGCTCTTCAATGTCAATCCTCTCAGTGGCCTTTTGCTGTAGGGTCTGCTTCAGGGCCTCCTCAGATTTTTCGCGTTCTTCCAACTCCGCGATGGACTGCTCCAGTAGTTTCTCCTGGGTCTGGGCCTTCTCCAGCAGATTCTCGCCGCCCACGAGGATTTTTCCCTCGAGAGAGACTAGTTTATTACGCAAAGTCTCCTGCTCTGTCTTGGCATGCTCTATTTCCCGCTGATGTTCGCTTTTACGCTGTGCCAGTTCCTCCTTCTCCTCGTCGGTCTTCTCGCGCTTCTTTTTCGGTTTCTTCTCCGCAACCTGGACAGTTGACGACTCCATTTCGATCTCCAGAGGTGCCTCCAGTTCGTCGTCGGCTGTGTCCTCCTCCTCTTCGGAGCTTGGTGGCTCCTCCTCAAAACTGCTGCCCTCCTCCAGTTGCTTCCGAAGTCGGGCAATCTCCTCCTGAAAGTGACGAAGCAAAGCATCCTTGGGTTCCTCATTGATGTGCATACGATTCTGGATGTTCTTGGCGCGACTAGCATAGCGTAGGGTCGATATGGTCTCCATGTAGTTGCTATCCGCTGGACTGATGGTGGCACACATCACGGTTTTGGAATTGCCTCCCAGGGAATCCTGGAGTAGTCGGGTAAGCTTAGAGTTCCTGTACGGGATATGAGTACTTTTGCCATCAACCAGGGCACTGATGACATTTCCCAGCACCGACAGCGATAGATTGATCTTGGTGGCTTCCTTAAGCCGCTGGCCACTGGCCTGGGTCTTGGACTGTCTCTCGGATCCGGCAAGATCCACCAGCTGGAGCTTACCCATACGCACGTGCTGGACACCGCCTTCGCCCAGTTCACTGCGCTCCACGGTGATTGAGAAGATGGCATGGGATCTGGAGCTCTCCTGATTCATCTTGGTGGCTCCCACCGCTCGGTTCTTGTTGCCCAATCGCATTATATTCTCCAGATCATCGGCATTGTGCACCACATAACCGCTGAGATCCTTGACAAAAACACCAATGTCTGGCCGCTCCTTGACCTCCAGACTCTTGCCCACATCCTTGCCCAGCAGGTCTCGCACCTCTTCGTTGTATATCTCCATATAGCTGACGCGCACCAGGAACTTCTGGTTCTCCTTGGCCTTGGCAATGTGCCCAAAAATGTGGGCAAAGGCATTGGGTATTATGCCCTTTGTTTGCGGCGAATCGGGATTGCCGGACATGGTGTAGGTTTTTCCCGTGCCGGTTTGGCCATAGGCCAGAATGGTGCCATTGTAGCCCTCGAGAACCTTGTCCACAATGGGACGAGCCGTGTCCACGTACAGATCCAATTGATTGGAGCCGCCATCGAAGACGTTGTCAAAGTAGTATGTCTTGGGCGGTTCGTTGGCCGTGGCATTCGGCTTCATCACTGTAATGGCCCGATTGATCTTGTCCACGGAAATTGCACTTAGGGCTCCGGCAGACAACTCATTTTTGTCCATCGGCCGTGTTCGCACCACCACACGCACATTTTCGATTTCATCATCGAGCTGCTGGCCCGTTGTGTTTCCCGGATTTCCTTCCTCCTCCTGCGGCGGCATTTTGATGTATCCTGCGGGCGTCTCCGGTTAATTCCTCTTCCAATCAATGCAACTAAGTAGATTTTCCGCTGACCGCAGTTAGTGGAAATCGATAGCTGCTAATTTTCCTCGCATTTGTTTATGCGTTGCTAGGTTTTTTTTTTTGTTTTTTTTGCGAGTGATTAAGCGATGGCTAATCAGCTGTTATCGATAAGTGCGAAAATCGTAAGAAGAGGGATGCCAGATCAGCAGCAAATTAATACTAACGGGAAAATACTAAATTTGTTTGGCACAAATTAAAGATAACAAAAATTAATTAATTATGCATTATAAAATTGACAATTTTACATTCTAGCAAGATCATTTTACCCCGCAGTATACAACGCATTAAAATAATTTTCTCTAATTTTTCCCTAAATGATATCAATTTATGCCACATATTGAGATGTTCCCTGCTGTAAAACACATTTCCTTGAATACATTAATCAAATTTTCGAGACATTAAAAAACAAATTCATTTCCATTTTATTGTATTATATACACATGTCCGTCAAATTAGCGTCGGTGAGTTAGCGTCGAAATGGAACGGTGGGAAAATGGAACACTGAGGGATTTTTTATTTTTAATTTATTTCGTTAATAAGGCACTAATTTGAACAAAATAAAGTTTATA